GACGCACCCTTTGTAACAGCAAGTTACATGGAATCTCCAAGACAACAGTGCCCATGAACATGAGCTGGTTTCCCAGATTGATAGTATCCTGACTGACGTTGATATCCCTCGCGAAGCCGGCTGTAAGTGCTGAAGCTAGGTTCATACGGTCGAGCTGGAACATGAGCAGACCCAAGACAAGGAGAGGTAACACAGTCATGTCGATTCTGAGAACATGATACGTTAGCCTCACTCAACTCATGGAGCTACTTTAAGCTTAAAATCATGTGTCACTGGGAGCCGGGGAGTTCTCACTTCCTCTTAGCCCTGCGTTCCTCATCGACATCCCACTCCAACTTGTCCTCGGACGCCACGACGGATCGGTCCGTCGGCGTGGTGCACACCATCTTTTCATCTGTCGGAGAATTCATGGTTGTCGATCACGGCAGTTACACACACATACACGAGAAAGAGACGACGAACATTGGCCATTGGATTCAGCTGAAATGCCATGGCTAAATGCTTTTGTCTTGTGTAGTCGGCCATCCAGGTTCCTATCAGACTCTAAATAATCCCAGTCTGCCCTGGACCGCAAACCCATGTTTCCCCCACATACACTGCGGATATCCTCAAGAACTTCAGGGTCCAACAACGCAATGTGATGTAAGTGCTCGCACCTTGATGGTCTCCCACCTCGCTGGGCCGGGAAATGCTGATAAGCGTTATCGATAACAGCACATGCTCGTGACGGGCGACGAGAGACAACGTTTCCTCGCACGATAACGCCATCGGGCGCTAAGATGACCAAATCGACTTTCCACCACGGTGAACGACACCGGCATCCCTGTCCGACTACCCGGTCAGGCGGTTTACGACAACACGATTGGAGGCTTTGGCAGTTTGGTAGTGGGGTTCACCCCTGTTCAGTTGAACCCCTCCATCCGTCCGCTGCAAGCCGCTCCCAAACTCTCGGGAGGAGGGCAGCTAAAAAAGTGAGAGCATTCGCACTTCGCGTGCTGGGTCAGGTGCCGCGTACCTTATCCTATTCTTTTTCATTTCTGCTTTACAATCCTGTGATACTCTCTTTACGATCCCACGTTGGTCAAGCATAGAGCGTTTCAGGGAATAGCGAGTATCTGAAGAATGGGCGCAGTCAAGCGGGTTGCCGTCATCGGCGCGGGGCCGGCCGGGGCTATCACAATTGACGCCCTGGCACGGGAGAAGGCCTTCGACGTCATTCGTGTGTTTGAGCGTCGAGAGGCAGCGGGAGGATGCTGGTGAGTCTTTCTTTTCACATTCGTCGCAAGTTGTTTTCATTGGACTGTTGCGCGGGGCTGGTCGTACTCATATGGAGCTCATTGGAGTACCTGGATGGTTTAAGCTGTTCCTGGAAATATCTTCTGCTACTGCTTCGTATTACCTTATGAGATGAACCAGGAACAAACGAGAACCTTGATGGTGCTCTGTCATCTGGATGACTGAAGCAGATGGCCAATTCCTGCGGCCAATGATCTCCATCATCAATGTCACTGAACATAGCATTACTATTCCTTGACTTGGATGCCACATCGGCGGGCGATGAGATGGAATAGAGACATTCACCGCGCTCGAACGAGGCGAGTCCCCAAAGAACACGCACTAACTCTTCCATCACAATAGGGTTGGCGACCAAACACCACCACCACACCTCACAAACCTCTCCTCCCTAGCAGCCCGAACCGCCGACCAACCCCTCCCGATCCCGGAAACCCTCCCGTCCCGGACGCCGAAAGCTGCGGCCGGGTCAGTCTCGACCCCTCCCCCGCCACGCTTCACCGAGTCCGGAATCTACCCCTACCTTGAAACCAACGTCGACGCCATCCCCATGTCCTTCTCCGAGGAATCCCTCCCCGAACAGCGCACCGACAACTCGATTGCGCTGCACGGCCCCGAGACGCCCTTTCGACACTGGACCGTGGTGCGGGACTTTGTTCAGGGGCTGGTGAACCGTAACGGCTACCAGGATTTCGTCTCCTACCGCACCACCGTCGAGCGCGCTGAGAAAGTTGGGAAAGAGTGGAAGCTCACCCTCAGGAAAGAGGGGGATGAGTGGGACGACTGGTGGGTTGAGTACTTCGACGCTGTTGTGGTTGCGACGGGGCACTACTGGGTTCCTTATGTGCCTCACATTGAGGGCCTCGAGGAGTTTGAAAAGGCGCGTCCGGGAAGCGTGATTCACAGCAAACACTTTCGCGGACGAGATCACTTCCGCAACAAGGTGAGTGCTCCCTCATGAATTAACTCTCTCCCTCTCCCTCTCTCTCTCTCTCCCCGCGAGTCACGAAAAAGTCGCTGACCACTCACAACCCAGCGCGTCGTCGTAGTCGGCGCCTCCGTCTCAGGCGCAGACATCTCCGTCGACCTCGTCAAAACAGCCAAACTCCCCATCTACTCCGTCGTAAACGGCCGCAAAGCAAACCTCTATTTCGGCGACGGCGCCTTCAACCACCCGCAAATCTCCCGCCGCGCCACAATCACCCACATTGACCCCTCCACGAGAACAGTTCACTTCCAGGACGGCACCTCCGTCCCCGGAGTCGACAGCGTCGTCCTCGCCACGGGCTTCACCTGGACCTTGCCCTTCCTTCCTTCGGTCGAGCTGCGCAATAATCGCGTCGCGGGGCTCTACCAGCACGTCATCTACCACGCCGACCCGACGCTACTTTTCATCGGCGCCGTGGCCGCGGGGCTGACGTTCAAGATTTTCGAGTGGCAAGCTGTTTTAGCGGCGCGCGTGCTGGCTGGGCGGGCGAAGCTGCCGCCCAAGGAGGAGCAGGCGGCGTGGGAGGCGGAGAGAGTCAAGGAGAAGGGGGACGATATTCGGTTCTCGCTCGTGCATCCGCACTTTGAGGAGTATTTCGAGACGGTGAGGGAGCTTGCGGGCGAGCCTGAGGGTGGGATTGGTAGAGCGCTACCAGAGTATGATCCGTCTTGGTTTCAGGTGTTTATGGATGGGTTGGAGTTGAGGAAGAAGATGTGGGTGAGGTTGAATGCCGAGGCGCGGGAGGCGGCGGTCAATGGGGTTGGAAAGGAGGGGGAGAAAGGGCCTATTGTGACTACGATTGAGGCACCACAGGAGGTGCGGTAGACTCAGACATACACCAGAAATATTTTGCGAAGAATTTCATCTACATGACAACATCACGGGTAAAAGGTGATACATGTCAAAGTATGACTGGTAAGTGCTGTAGCGGATGACGATGATGCCGCTTGCTCTGCGACATCATGAAGATCTCGTGCTGCAATACCAAGAGAATGAAAAGCCGCTTGAGTTGGTGATACAAAAGGTAGCCAGTCACCCAGTCAAAACGATCTCCTCTAAGATCCAAAGTCTCAATCACCACGGTTGATGGCTTGTACTGGCCACCATCTAATAACGCACACTCAGGTTGCTCGCCGAGTTCCATAGCCATTCGAGCCACGTGATCATTGAGAAGCTGAGAACCAACTCAGATCCTTTCGTTCCCTAGGCGAATCAAATTCTCTCGCTAAGTGACATACTTGCAGCGGTTTGACCCAAGGGGTTGGGATAAGCGCTTACATGTGGGCATCGTCTTACATCAGACGACAGGCAGTCATTCCTAGACCACATCGGCCACTCCTAGCTCGCGTCCCTTGGGGTGAGATTCGAAAAGGGAAAGCCATGCTTCTGCATCGTAGGGAAAACAATGCCAGCGCATGGCTTCTGTTGGACTTGGCGAGCCCGTTAAGTGGTTTGAGCTGAGATGATTGCGGCAACCATGCAGGGATGATCAAGAGACAGCATCGCATGTGAAAAAGAGCCAAGATCCCGCGTCTCGACAACTACAAGCAAAGAAATGGATCTGATCTTCAAGGAGAAGAAGCTTTGAAATACAGATACAACGATGGAAACCTCACCCCAGCCTTCCAACCCGCCCAAAAGGCGAGGCCTCAAGCGCCGCATCACCGACCTCCACGTCGACATCACAAGCATCCTACACGGCTACACCCCCACGCCGCACTTCCTCGCAAGCGACATCACCGGCTACCTCCTCTTCACCCTCCTCGCGACAGACTGGCCATCCCTCTGGCGCGCAAAGCTCTTCCGCGCCTTTCCCTGCGCCCAGACGGCCTCCGAGACCTTCTCCGGCTTCTGGAACGCCTTCTGGCAGGAACGATGGCACCAGGAAGACGACGCCGAGTCGAAGACGACCAAGTGGAACCCGGGCTTGTACAAGTCGCCGCCGCCGCGGATGCGCTCGTGTCGCGAGGTGCTGAATCGGCAGCAGGCGTTGCGGAATTGCTGCGCTGCGCAGATGGAGGGGTTTGAGGGGCGGGATGTGGTGAAGGAGATGGTGTTGCAGGTTGCGCTGGCGTTTTGCTGGCTCTGGGCGGTGCTGAAGGATTACAGACGGCTGCTCTGCCTGGTGCATTCTTTAGAGACTGATGGAGAAGAGTGCCGCCGCGAAGAGGCTGGGAGGGAGGTGCCGGTGGTGGTGTGTAAAGGAGAAGGGACTATGCCCGTGGCGCGGGGCGGCCCGTCGTACTGTTGTTTGAGACGGCTCCAAAGACATATTGATCGTGGGCAAAGCATGATTGACAAGTTTGTAGAGCTGGAGATGTGTGATGGTACCGACGACACGCTTTGGACTGAGATGGAGTGGCTAAGCGAGAAGGAAGGTGAGATTCCTGCGGAAATGCCGCAACAAGATCGGTTTCTTGTTGACCGTGTAGTCTTCTCGGCTGGTTTATCATGGCTCATGGTTGCCATCAGCTGCGACTTCGCGACCTTCTACTTCCTCGTCCTGATACGGCGACTAGGGGCTCGTTTACTGCCGTAATATAGAGTTACATAGCATCGAGCAAATACTGTCACGAAGTGTTACCTTTAGACACCAGACGCACATGAAATACCTAGGGCCTAAACATGATAGTAATGTTTTATTGTGGACGTGTATTCATCGGCAATGTCAAATGGGATATCGCTTTCCATGTAAACGCCTTGCAATGCAAATGTCGACTCAGCGTCGTCTTCTGAACTTGCTGTTGTATCCGGGCCCGCCTTTCGCGCCGTTGTTCTTCAGTTTCAATCGCCGGAAATTCGTATGCGCCATTGCGTTCACCTTTCTGACGGCCTTCTTGACCGCCCCGACCTTCTCCGTCTTCTTTTCTTCCTTCTTCTTGGACTTGGTTTTTGGTGCCGACTCGTCAAACTCTGTGTCCGAACCCGAGCCCGCGAGCTCATCATAGTCGTCCTCTGGATCACCACTGTTTTGTGTTTTTGGCACGCCTTCTTCTTCGTCTCCTTCTTGTGCCTCTTCCTCGGCGGGAGCCGATGGCCGTTTAACGTGGACAGGCTTCATGTTGGATCTCCTCGTCGTTCGTTTCTGCCCCTTCTTCTTGTATACCCTTAGCGGCATTCCATCACGTCCCACCTGCTCTTCATCGGGACTGTCGTAAAGAGCCTCGTCATCAAACCCTCCAAGAGGAAGATTGACCTGACTGTCTGCAGCGAGAATATCCGCTTTCGGCTTCGGAGGCACTTTAGGCTGCACAACTTCGCCTTCCGCCTCCCGTAGAGCCTCGAGTTCGTCTTCGTTATCCAAGTTATCTTCTTCCACCTTTCTGAGACTTGCTACAATAGCACTGAGGCCACGAACCAGTGGTTTCCGAGGTAATCGCAGGGGCGGCGCTGTGAAGTCATCGCTCTTGCTGGGTGGTGGCTGGGTGTGTCTTTTGAGGAAGGACGGGGTGCTGAACTGAAGCTTCGAAACAGTTGTTGGTGTTTTGGCGTCTGCTGCAGGGACATCTTTGTTCTTCAGAGGTGTCATGAAGCTGTCTAGCATTTGCCGTTTGCTCGTGGACATTGGCGTCCGCCCAAATTTCGCATCATCCTCCTCGTCCATGGGTGTCGCACGTTTTCTTGGTGTCGTCATTACTCTGGCGTCGGCAGAGGTGTTGATGTTCTTTCTTGACGGTGTTCCGAGCTCACGCTCCACCATTAGGTCAAACAATCCCAGTACACGACCATCGCGCTGTGGAGTAGGTCCAATCGATCTTGGAGCCACGGGGCTGAAGAGGGTTCTGGAGATCGAGGGGGTGCTAGTGAGGGCGGCATCTTCGGGATTCGTCCTTCTTTTCGAGGGCGTTTCGGTGTGCCTGGTTTTCTTCGAAGGCGTCCTCGCGAGGGGGGGGATATCGTCCCGCTTCTTTGGTTTCGGAGCTTCTTTTGAAGGTGGAGGAATCTTTCCTGAAAGGATGTCGCGGACTTTGTTGTATTGCTTGTATTTTTGCGCTGGTCACTCGTGTTAATCTTCGATTGCTTTTGTGCTTTCAGAGGTAAGATACTCACCTATGTCGGCGTTGCTTTTGATATCGCCTCTGCCCGGCTTCTTCCCATCGTGAGACTTTGCCCAGGAGGTCTCCCACGTCTTGAGTTCGACACGTAGTTTCTGTGACTGGAGCTCATACTCTGCCTTTGTCGGTTCGTCCATTATGGGGCAGTCGCTGGTCGAGATGCATCTACGTCATTGAAGATTGTGAAGGCGCAGAATTAAGGTTGAGTAAGTGGTTTGGATTGAGGTACGTAGTTGAAGACGTCCAGGGTGGATTTCAAGGTGGAGGGAAAGGAAACGCGGTTGACGCGACAAGGCAAAAGCACTAAACACGAAAGATCCACGGTCGCCCAGCAGCACTTTGGGTACGTATCTAACCGGCCGAAGAGATTGCCCCACCATGGAATTCCTTATCTTATCAGAGTTTAAGCTGCTTCCACGGATGTCACGCTGATTAACACAGCCGTCACACTGGACTGACATGGTGACATCGTCGTTCTCCTCCGTCAAACACCACTTCCTTTCTCTTGAGCACGCTCTACACCTGTGGCATGTCCGCCGAAGCGATATCCAGCGATAACTCGAGTTCACGAGATCTTCATTCCGTCGTCTTGCAGACAACGCTGCAGGAGATCACCACGCGACCGACGGATCTTCAAGACTGTTGCGTCATTTGCCTCGAAGAGATCACCGAAGGCTGCGAGGCGCAACCCTGCCACCACCACAACTTCGATTTCCTCTGCCTCGCGACATGGCTGGAACGACAAATAGCATGCCCGCTATGCAAGACCGAGATCAAGGAGGTCCGTTACGAGTTTAGCGACGAGCGAAAGCAATGGAAGACCTTCAAGGCCCCAGAGAGACCCTCGGATAAGGCTGGAGACACAACGAATGCCCCTTCTGGTCAGCAAACGAGACGATATTACTCTCAAGCCCGCCCACGGCGACCACGGCCCTATGCGCCTTCGACGACTCGGCCCAATCTGTCTCAAGATGAGGCAATCACCCGCCGAAGACATGTCTATCGACATCAATTGTACTCGCTGCACGTGGGCTCAAACAGGATATCAAGATACCGAGACTTGACTCCGCAAATATTTGCCTCCGATACAGAGCTTGTCTCGCGCGCGCGTACATTTCTTCGGCGCGAACTACAGGTCTTTGAGTTCCTCTCGCCCGATCATGATGCAAGGCCGCTAGATACCGACCCGGTCCGACGTCGCAGAGCCAACAATGCCGAGTTCTTGCTCGAGTACATCATCGCTATCTTGAAGACTGTGGATATGCAAGGCAGCATGGGCCAAGCTGAGGAGCTCATTCAAGAGTTTCTGGGCAGAGAGAATACACGATTGCTGCTTCATGAGCTTCGGGCGTGGCTGAGAAGCCCCTACATGTCGCTCGAAAGCTGGGACCGCGCTGTGCAGTATCCAGATGTTACACTCAAGCGGCGACGGTCACAGAGTCGCAGCGCAGCTAATCGTGGAGAATCGTCCACGATCAACAGTATATACCCTTCAACCTGGAGGAGAGATGAGAGACAGAGGCATCGCAGGCAGCCTTACGAATCGCGTCGGTCACGGAATGACCAGAGATTACGAGAGGCGACAGAACGATACTCTGTTGATTGAGCGCTGATAGCACGACTCGGACATGATAATACCCATAGCTGTGGCTTCACACCTATTTACGGCGGATCCTTTTGCGGAACTATTTTGCGCAGTGGATGACAGAGGATACAAGCTTTAGACTGGCCTGTGCTTTATTAGCTTGCAACTTTGCAAGGGCGGCAGGGCGGCAGGGCCCTTGGCGGTGGTAATGAACAAGGGGCGCACATAGACTCCACGAATCATGAATGCAACGTAACAAACCAAGTGCCGAAATGCAGAGTGCCGAACGACCATCGGAACCTTCCCAGACCCGCCTTCGCCGATTTTGCTTCGGCTGAATAATGGCGGATTGTGGGCTCGTTGGTGCTGATGTGAAGAGACGAGACGGGGTAAGCTCGTCTCGATATGGAGGAATCCCGCCGGCCTGTAGCTAAATGATTCCGGTCGGATCGGGCTCCGGGTCTGATTGGTAATCAACTAAAAGTCGGCGCCCAGTTACGGCGGAGTCCCGCCGTATTCGAGCGAGGCCGAGGCCGAGTTTTACGACATATTTGACGTCTTTGATTCCCATATCGTAGATTTCGAAGATAGACTCTATTCAACCAATATCTGTGTACCTGTTCATATTCTCCTCATCGTCGAGTAAAAAAATTTGAAAGTGAATGAACGCCGCACGCCAAGCAAGCAAGATGTCCACCATCAACATCAAAGTCATATCAGACCCCGTCTGCCCCTTTGTAAGACGCCCTTGGGACTCATCGGAGAGAGAGAGAGAGAGAAACGAGGTCACTCACATCACTGGCAGTGCTATCTCGGCAAAGCCCGTCTGAACAGGGCGATAGACCTCTACAAAAAGACGTACCCCGGCGGCAAGGACGACACCTTCAACGTAACCTGGCAAGCCTACTACCTCGACCCGACGGCGCCCCGCAAGGGCGTCCCCGTCAACGAGCGCATGGCGGCGCGCTTCGGCGCCGACAGGCTGGAGATGATGCACGCGCGCATGAAGAAGCTGGGCGCGGCCGAAGGCTTCAATTTCACGTTCGGGGGCAAGATCGGGCACACGCGGGACGCGCACCGGACGATCCAGCTGGCGAAGACCAAGGGTCCCGAGGTGGAGAACGCGGTGGTGGACTCGATTATGAAGAGCTACTTTGAGGAGGACGGGGACGTGACGAGCTGGGATATGATTGTGGACGCGGCGGTGCGGGGTGGGCTTGAGAGGGGGGAGGTGAGGCGGTGGCTCGAGGAGGGTAAGGGAGGGGAGGAGGTTGATCGGCAGGTGGAGGAGGCGTATCGGATGGGGGTGAGGGGGGTGCCGCATTTTGTGATTGAGGACAAGTATGAGGTTGGGGGCGCGCAGGAGGTGGGTGAGTTTTTGGGACAGATTGTTGCGGCGAGGGAGAGGGGTGGGAGGGCAGCGGGGGCACGGGACGGGCTTTCGTGTTGAGGTTGTCGTGGCACACACGCTCACATGGAGAACGTAATCGGAGTGTAGGGTAATTTTGGGTCATGATGGAGTTTTGTTTGAATTTCTGGGGTATCATGTCGCAAAACAACCATGGTAGTAGAAGCGCCCTCGTTTACTATCCTCTTTCCTTTTTTTCCAACCAACATCACATGTTCAGCAATGCTCCCAAATCCTTTTCCATCGCCCGCAACCGCTGCTGCAGCTCCCGCTTCTTCTTATCAAGCTCCCTCACAAACTCCTCCTCGGCCCGTAGGTCCTCTTCCGTCATGACATCCTCGCCCACTTCTTCCTCTTCGTCCTCGTCGTCATCAAATTGCTCGTCATCTCCCTCACTCATCCAATGATCCTTGTTCATTCTCTCCACCGCAGCCTGGTTCTCAGCAACCTTTGCCTCGTAGTACGCCAACGTATTCGTCTGGTGCGCGTACCGCGACCTCAGCTGCGGAATCCGCTCGAGCGCGCCGGGCAGAGCGTACACGCCGCACAGCTTCGTCGCGCCCTGCAAGAGTACCTCGACGTCGACGTCGCCCCCTTTGCTCGCGGCCTGGCGCTCGCCGCGGCGCAGCTGGGCGTGGAGGTCGCCTCCGAGGACGGCGGAGACGGCGGTGTGGCGGCGGGGTCCGCCTATGCCTCCGCCGCCTGCAGCGCGGGAGGTTCCTGGTGGTGGGCCGGTTGTGACTTCACCCGAAGCGACGTTGAAGACGGTTTGGCGGCGGGAGGTGGTGGGTTTCGCTTCTTGGTTTTGGGAGGATGATGATGTTGCTGGCGGTGGTGGGGGCGGGGGTACGGAGAAGAGGGCGCGTTCGTGGGCTTCGGTGTCGCGAATTAGGGAGGTGATATCGGTGTTGTAGAGCATTGCATTTGTAAAGATTTTGGGCGGTGGGAAGCTGCCATGGTGTGTTAGTGAATGTCTCGGATGGCGGCCAAATTGAGGGTATCTTGAGGAGGGTGCTTTTAATGAGGAGGGGCAATGCGTACGGGAGCGAGTCGATGCCCTCGCAGCAGAGAGCTATCTGCTCGAGGTGGATTGCGAGCATTGACATGGTGGTGTCTTGTTTTTTGATATCTCGAGTACGGAGTTGCGCTCTGCAGACGGTCGACGTTGAAGGTGTATAGTCAGTCCAGTGTTGATGTTGGATTCGGAGGTTTCAATGTCAACAAACTGCCCCACCAAACACATGATTTGTTTGCCAGTTGGAGAAGGAGCTCTCTCCCCCACGACCTTTGCTTGGCGCACGGACCAGCTCATGTTCATCCCCAAAATCTACAGCTCAGCTGGGCGTCAACTTCCCCTTCCTCCACCTCTCTCACTCGTCAACTCTTCAACAGCTGCTGTGATCATCTCAACCATCGTAGTCCCAGGCAATGCGACGAAGTCACGCATCATTTTGATGAGATTGAGGCTTCAATGCCAGGCTGTGACGGCTGAGACCAATGACTCCACCAAAGCTCAAGGCATCTCCTCGGACGGCAGTACGAATACAAACAACGCTGATGGAAGATTGACAAGAGCAACTGCGTCAAATCTGACAGCCAAGCCTCTATATGTCTCTCCCACGCTTGAATCACTCGACGGACAAGGAAGTCAGAAGTCAATTCACCTCAACTTTTGGTGATGCATAGCTGCACGCGGTAGAACCCGAACCACTCAGCTCGGTGTCTACCAGATCGACATCCAGCCACTCACTTCCCCAAGACGAACGGTCAGAGCTTGGACATTATTCACGAGGCAATTGTTCCGTACCAAGCACAATCAGATTTCAAGGCTGCCTGTTGCCTCGCCGGGTGAGGATCGCAATAAGCGGCTTGGACCCTCGAGGATGTGACTCTGTCGGGCTGAACGTGCCGATTAGCTGGGCACGTAACGTCAGAAATGACGACAGATGGACGCTGTCATTGGGTCCTATGCGCGTCTGCTGGCTTTCCTTCAAGGGCTGTTGGCGCATGTGGTGCACTCTTGCTACGGCAGCCTGTAAGACGCCCACATGCAACTCAAACAGCCCCGACAACGCAAGGCATAGTTGCTTTCTCTGACTTCTTGTCATTTTCTGTTTGCGACTTTATCGGTGTAACCGTCAGTG